ATACGCGAACACCAAGCTGATATTAAGCATAAAAGACACACCACTGCCTTATCCACCTATGTCACCGACCCTGAAATAAGGGCGGACTTCCGGAACACCAAAGTTATCAGACACGTGTTCCGCGCGGATCACATCCGTCACCTGGAGGCCTGGGAGATTCACAAAGCTAGCAGGGGGGGCAACGGCATCAACTACAAGGACGGGGAAACACTTGCACAGGCGTGGAAGTATTTATTCGAGGAGTTCGAGCAATGGCGGTCGGAGGGGTGAAACCCGACGCGCACGTTTATTTATTTACATCGTTGGCAACATCGTTACAACGGTCGGGTCGACAGTCACCACCTGAAGCAGACCTCGGTGGAGGTCGAAAGTACTTGTGGAACTTAATAGTGAAAATAACCCTCATAAAAAAGGTTTTTTCGTGGATCGTTATTATTCAACGAGGTGTTAAATTGTTGGAAGTAGTTATCTTTATGGATTATTTTCTAATACAGAAAATCAGCTTAAATATAACAAAATTTTATTAATTTCAGAAATCTTCACATAAAGGTATTCCTTGTTTAATGTGGAATTTGATTAAAATGCAAAATTAATTGCAGCAATCCCGGCAGAAGTTTTAATTAACACATCTTTACCAGCTGTCTTTTGCTTAACATAGATAACATATTTGGTTAATGTGATTTTGATATATGCAATACCATTGAGGGATTAATCTAAATCAAAATTAAACATGATATCATTACCATTTGCTTTACATGCCTCAGTTTTTTAAACTACAATGCAGAAATATATTTTATATTAAAGTAACATTGATCCACAACTTAAATTAATATTATTATTATTATTATTACGTAATGCAGTTTAGGTGGTTTTATCTCAAGTATTTCATTTTTTTTATTTCACTTATTTTATAATTACATGTACTNAAACTGTTTTATAGAAAAATTATTTTAAAAATTTTACTGAAATTAAAAAAACATCAAATTATTCATATAAAATATCAATAACTTTCTATATAACAGATGTTCAGTAAAAAATGCAATGAGCACATGACAAAGGAAGAACGCTGCCCAGACCAGCACAAAATACAGGATTACTACCATTTTTACAATATATAAAAAATTTTAACTGTTGATCATTAATGTCTAATTAAATAGGAATCTTTTTTCTATTAGGTACTGTTTCTATGTCTAGTCAACTTACCAAACACCCAATATATTAAATACTATTATTTTAATAATTCTCAATACTGTGCATTAACAAATTAAAAAACTAAATACTGACTAAACAAGTAAAAAGAAATTCCTGCTTAGTTATAAAATCATATCAATAAATAATGTTTCAGGTTTATATAATTGTTCTTTTACTAAAATTCTACATAACAGCTCTTTAAACAACAGAAAATCAGACAAATGAGATATTCCAGCATTATTTTAAAGATCTTTTACTTACCAACTCCATTATTATGAATTAGCTGCAAAATTAAAGGTCTTCTAGTTACAATTCCTGTTCCCCTTGGCAAAAAATCTCTATGAAATAAACAAAATTTTAAGTTATTGAACTATATTAGTTGAAACAGATAAATAAAAAGTGTATTATAAAAGTGTATTTATTTAAAATGTAAATACATATCACTAAAATCATGTAATTCATCTCCTCAAAATTACAAATTACAGATAATACACATGAAGATATGAAACAAACAAAATTCTTTTTTCTTTATATCTAACTGCACTAACAGAAGATAAAAAAATAATCTAATGTGTTAACTTTAATTTCAACTTGATAACAGATTAGCCTCAAAATCATCACTATGCAAGATTCTATCATACAATTGTTTTCATTGATAAGATTATATCAATTAAAACAATAGTACAATAGAAACACAAAGTATATTGACAAATTTACTTCAAAACAGAATTAACATTCAAATTAAAAAACTTTATGGATTATAATGATCCACAAAAAAACCTTTTTTACGAGGGTTATTTTCACTATTAAGTTCCACAAGTACTTTCGGCCTCCACCGAGGTCTGCTTCAGGTGGTGACTGTCGACCCGACCGTTGTAACGATGTTGCCAACGATGTAAATAAATAAACGTGCGCGTCGGGTTTCACCCCTCCGACCGCCATTGCTCGAACTCCTCGAATAAATACTTCCACGCCTGTGCAAGTGTTTCCCCGTCCTTGTAGTTGATGCAGTTGCCCCCCCCTGCTAGCTTTGTGAATCTCCCAGGCCTCCAGGTGACGGATGTGATCCGCGCGGAACACGTGTCTGATAACTTTGGTGTTCCGGAAGTCCGCCC